AAAGAGGCATATAGGGTAAGTACCACGCGATTTCAGGTCAAAATATTCAAATTAGAGCAAAGTTTAAGCTCGAAATTAGAATTTTTTAACGAATCACAACAAAATGATCGAATAAGCGTGATAAAAATAACGAGAAACACGATAAAATGAAGTTAATTAGCCAATTTCAGGCTTATAAAAAATACGTGCAAAAGCTGGGACATGAGGAGAAACGGCTACCGGGTTTAGAGCAATACACCAACGATCAGATATTCTTTTTAAGCTATGCACAGGTGAGTGTCAACAGATCAATTCTATAGGATCACTGATCAAAATACCATCAGATCAAGTGATCAGTGATCAATCAATCTATCGATCAATAACTGATCGAAACTGTTGTATCTGGAAACTTTCAGACGTGGTGTGGTATCTCAAAACCAGAAGCTACCATAAGACAGGTGCTAACAGATCCACATGCACCGGTCCAATTCCGTGTAGATGGTGTTGTTGTGAATCAACCAGAATTCGCAGAAGCCTTCCATTGCAAGTTGGGTTCTCCGATGAATCCTGTTAAAAAATGCGTTGTATGGTAATAAAACGATAGTGTGATGAAGCAGGAAAAGGTCAAAGGTCATCTCTTTAGAGGTCAAAGGTCATCTCTTTAGAGGTCAAAGGTTATCTCTTCTAGAGATCAGCGTCCAGAAATGACCAATCGTCCGTTCATCCGAAGTGTCTCCTCTCGTCTCCTCCTTGATCAGATTCTCATTCCATTTATCAAAAAACCTCTTGTGCGGGTGTTGTTGTTTTATTTACTTATAATTACAATTAATTAATTAATTACTCTCACATATAAACTATATTTTTTCACTTTATTTATTTATTCAAATCTGTACATATCACTAATGTAAACTCGCTAAATATTTATAAAATTCATATTTTTAGTTTTATTCATCAATGTAAATATTAATATTTGTCCATGTACAATAGAATATTATGATCTAACCATTTGATATGATATTGTGATTGGATTACTCCTATTTATTATATATTTGGCCAGTGTCATGATTACTTTGGCCAGTGTCATGATTACTTTGGCCAGTCGTATGATAACTTTGGCCAGTGTCATGATAACTTTGACCAGTCCATGACAACTTTGACCAGTCGTATGATAATTTTGACCAGTCGTATGATAACTTTGGCCAGTGTCATGATAACTTTGGCCAGTGTCATGATAATTTTGACCATGTTCCGCTGAAATTCTCGTCCAGAATCCTCGAGAATGCCGAAATTTCTTCCGCTTTCAGCATTTGGATAAAGCGAATCGCTACCAATTTGATCTGAAACTCCATTTTTTTTTTAAAAATTGGACAATGAGACTAAAATCAATGAGAATTTTTATAAAATTCTCAAAAAAACTTACATTTTCCGCGTTTTCAATGTTCATATTGAAGCAAATGTACTACTCGTAGCGCGCATATTGCCGTCGTCATATTGTTGTTTCTCACCATTTGATGAAACTTTTATTGCTGTTGTTATTTGTATTCGTCGTTATAATTTTTTTGTTTTCTATTCAGCTAGCTAACGCCTCAAATGTAAAATTGACCATTTGTGTGTGATCCGCAGGAATTTCTGTTGATCCGTTATATTTTTCAGTAGTTTTTTGGCGTTTCAGTGGTTGAAATCGCTACTATCTTATGGTTTCGCTTGTTGATGATTACACAGCAATATGAGAAATTGTGTGCGAATAAATTGTGTGCAATTTTGATTATTTAAAAGAAAAAATAAAATAAAATTTCCGATCGGAATCGTGATCGGATCGGAATCGCAAGAAGCTTATTCTGAGCATTCGTTGTTGCGTTGCGTTGAGATAAATAAATAAATAAATATCGATCGATGCACACATGGACGAATGGAATGGAGCGATCGATATGTCGTCTAGCGAGAAATTTCACTTGTTGATCACATCTGATCAGATCAGATCAGATCATAGAACACATCAAATGATCATAAATCAAATGATCGGAAAAACGGATAGCGAATTTCTCTTCTGAAGTTTTCGATGATACACTTGAAGCTTTTGTTGTTCTTCTTCGTTTAGATACCTGAAGTAAAAGGGTTGTTGATGATGTGTAACTGGTTTTTTTGCTGATCACAAAAAGAAGAGAAAGCGATCGAGAGTTAGGAGAGAAACCGGCCGGCATTGATCAACAACGAATCAACCAAATCCATAATCAACCAAAATCCGTATGGTGCGACGATTGATCCGATTCGATCCGATTGATCCGTATGCGATTGGATTCGATTGATTGATAATTTATTATCGATCGTATTCGTTTAATTACTTATTTATTTATTTGTTTGCTCTAAAATCCTTTGAAACAACGGCAAACACTTAATCCCAATTAATTATATGAACAAATTAATTTCCTCAGTCGCGTTTTCTTTCCTTTTTTTCTGCCTTTTTTTGATTTATTACTATCACCACACCGATACCGTTGACAATGGTGGGATAAATAAAGGATGAATAATAAAAATGTTCAGTTGAAAAGAAATTTTCAATCCTTGAAATTTTACCAT